TCAATCAAATCACCACTACAATAAAAAAAAAAAAGGAGAGCAGATGAGAAGAAGAAGAAAGTGTTAAAATACTTTCTCAATGTTATAAAATTATACAAAATAATATAAAACAAAAATAAGAAGAATATAATGTATTGTATTATTTTCATTATTAATCATATAATTAATTTTAGACATCTAAAGAATGGATCTTCAGATTTTTTTCCTGATTATATGCTATAAGATATTTAATATCAATTTTAAGAGAATAAACTTTTGCATGATGCTTTAGTTGATGCATTAGTTAATGTAATAAAAAACTCAATTTCATACATTTTAACTTCCTTTAAAAACACACAAAATTCATTGCATTGAAGAAACCACTAATTCTTCAATATTAATTTTTGTATTATAATATTATAATATATATTTATGGTCTTTTAGTTGAGAAAACAATTTTATAAATTTCTGATTGTAAGTAGACAAACAAACATATACACGATCGTTTAGTCTATGCAACAATGAATGTCATAAAAAATAATACGCCATATAATATTTTTTAAATAAATAATGTATTCACTCAAATCACCTCAAATATTTATCTTAAAAATATAAAAAAATAAATAAATATTATCATACTAAATAAATTCAAATATTGAATTTATATACTTAATTTTAAAAAATACGACTTATAATATTTATAATCACATGTTACTGCATCATATATTATTAAAAGAGAAGAAAAGAAATAAGAGAAAGAAACAATATTGTCTACATATATATATGAATAATTTAGCAATACTTTTTTCTATCAATTTTAATAAATTAGTCACAAATTAATAACATTTGATTATTAAATAAATATTATCGTACTGATAATATGTTATAAAACTAAATAAAATAATAGAAGAGAAAAAATAGAAGAATAAATATTTATTTTTATTTATAAACATATTTAATAAATGAAAAATTAATATAAAAATTATTTATTTATGAACATCCATAATTATGTCATTTATAGCCTATTCAATAAATTATTCATAATAAATATTTTAAATATAATAATAATATTTAGTCTTATAAAATTAATTAATTTTAATAATTTAACAATTATAATTAATTAACAATATACAATTATTTTTCGCAATAGTAATACTAATTTAATCTCCATAGTAAATATATTAAGTTTAAATTTTTCTGGTGATTTAAATTATACTGCAAATCATTCACTTATGATTATCATTTTTGGAAGGTTAATCTTATGCAATGCATGACAACGATTTCTTTATAATTCCTTTTAGTTTGCTCAACATTCTATTTTATATTTTTTCTTCTTGATTGTATCTATACTTTTTTTAAGTCTTTATGTGGAAGGACTTAGTAATTATTAACATATCATTTTAATTTCTTTTAAAAAAATTATACAAATTATTCACATTGATAATGAATGTGAATTAAATTATAATATTTATCTTAAATAAATTAAAAAGATGTATTAATAAAAGTTATTTAAGGCAAAAGGTGTGCCAAATTAAATCCCTATACAAGAATACCCCTATTAAAAGTTTTATAATTTAAAACTAATTTTGATGAGCGTAAATTAATTTATGTTTTCATAATATTCTTTTTTAAATATTTGATTTAGTTTATTATCTTGTTGATAATAGGTTTTTAAAGTAAAATTTAGCATGTTGAATTATAACTCTTAATTTAAGTTAAAACTTCAATTTAACATATACGATAATACGATAAACGCAATAAAGTAAGAATCAAACTAAATCTATATCAACTCTTTGATTGTAATTTTGTTTTAAGAGAAAATAAAAAATATATTAATAATATAAAATTATTTTATACTATCAATTAATAAATATTTAATATTTTACTCAATCATTTTTATATATTAAAATTATTTAAATAATATTATAAATTATTAATTTATTATTAAACGATAATATAAAATTATTTTACATAAAACATGTGCATTAAATTCTAATTTGATTTTTAAAATCTAATTTGATTTAAAAAAAGAGAGTATAGATATATAGGTATGATAATTGTCATAACAAAGGCCTGTCGTTTCATCCTGTTCAGTCGTCGTTTTAAGTTCACCTTTCTTCAACTTGAACCCCTAATTTCAGTTAAACTGTGTTTTCCTTCCGAAAGAAGAAGCATCTTCCTTCTCTCACTCCAACTAGATCCTTTGTTTCTCGGGAAAATTTCTCGAGAAAATTTCAAAACAAAATCTCAAATTCTGAAAATCAAAAGCACATAGAATCGCTTTTCGATCACACTCCAATGGCGACTCCGAAACCCCAACGAACTCCACAGGAAGTCGAAGACATCATCATCCGCAAAATCTTCCACGTCACCATCACCGCCACCACCGCCACAACAACCGATTCCAGAATCGTTTATCTCGAACTAACCGCCGCCGAAATTCTCAGCGAAGGCAAAGACCTCCTCCTCTCTCGCGACCTAATGGAGAGAGTCCTAATCGATCGTCTCTCCGGCGATTTCTCTCTTTCCGGTGATGAAGCCTCCACGTTTCACTATCTTGTTGGTTGTTACAACCGCGCACACGATGAAGCTAAGAAAATCGTTAACATGAAGGATAAGAATCTTAGGTCAGAGATGGAGAATGTTGTGAAACAAGCTAAGAAGCTATGTGTTTCTTATTGTAGGATTCATCTCGCGAATCCTGAGCTTTTCGCGAGTAAGAATTCAAATTCGGATACTAGAACAACATCTCCGTTATTGCCGTTGATTATATCGGAGTGTGGAGGTGGCGGTGGAATGGGAGTTTTTGGTGGTGGAAGTGCTGGAGGAGGAGTGAAGAGTCCTCCGGGGTTTTTGGATGAGTTTTTTAGGGATCCTGATTTTGAGAGTTTGGATAGGATTTTGAAAGGGTTGTATGAAGAATTGAGAGGGAGTGTGATGAAGGTTTCTGTTCTTGGAAATTTTCAGGACTCTCTGAGGGTTTTGTTGTTTTTGGTTAGATTACCTGCTGGTGCAAAGTCTCTTGTTAGTCACGAGTGGTGGATTCCCAAAGGTCCTTATATGAATGGTCGTGCTATTGAAATGACTAGCATTTTGGGTCCCTTTTTTCATATCAGTGCTCTTCCTGATCAAACCTTCTTCAAGAGTCAGCCTGATATTGGGTGAGCTTTAAAGTTTCAATTACTTCCATTATGTCATTTTTCGTTTACTGTTTTTGGAATTCAATTTAGTCTTGTTAAATGGCACCTTAGTGAAATTTGAACAAATCGCTCCCGCGAATTAGGTGAGCTTTAAAGTTTCAATTACTTCGATTATGTGATTTTTTTTTAAGTGTTGTTAAATGGCGGCTATAGACTGTAGCATAGTAAAATTTGAACAAATTGCTCCCGCGATAAGCTATTTGGTACAAAATATTGTCAGCTAGTGGTACTATAGCTTTGCTGCGTGGCAAAATTTGAACAAACAACTAGTTTTTATAATCCACGATTGACAATACTGGTTTATAATGTTGATGATGTTTTTTTTTTTTTTTGAAATTGTTTTCTCACTGTAAGGATTGGTTAGGAAATGAAGCATTGGGTTTCATTCATGTACTTGAATGAACTTTCTGAGGTTGTTAAAATCGCAATTTACAACCTAAACTTTATAGATTTCACGTTTCTAAGTCAACATTTTGTGTTAAATAGCAGGTAAAATGTTTTTAGGTAAAATCGTATCATGGGATGATTTTAATTGATTTAAATCGCTATGATATCGTGTAAAATCGTTGGATTTAACTCTTTGACAGATTTTACCTTTTTTTTGTCTAATTTTGAAAAGCCTATTTTATATTTTGACCCATGAAAACTTCTATGTTTTTTTATTTTATTCACATTTATGTAGTTTGATACAAGTTTATGAATATTTCTCTTTATTGTGGTGATTTTGTATATTTTTGCTTTATAACTAAGTTAAAATTTTAAATTATTTATGCATCTACAATATTATATAACTGCATACATATGTCGTGTATAAATTTAATATTATTTTAATATGAGGTAAACTCTACGATTTTACGTAGACAAAATACGTTAAGATAAAAACTCGATTCTAAGAACCTTGGAACTACTATCTGTTGTTTTCATTGTATGGAGTGCGTATATAGTTTTTTTTCTGGGGCTCAACTGTTGGTTATGTTTTGGTCTTTCTTTTTTCATTGGTGAGAAAATGAAGATAATGGTAGTAGAGAAGTGTTGCTTTCATTTGTGTGAACTTGGTTCAACTACCTGATTAGGCCAGTAGATTAATTCAGCCCTTGTCCGGAGGGAGGTTTTGTCATGAGAAGTCTAGTTTATTAAAATAAGCTTATTCATGAAAGCACATATTGAAATCAATTCAAAAGAAATTATTGGTAAGTTGTGAGAGAAGTTTAAGTAAGTTCTAGAAAAGATATTCAAACGGCACTTGGTTAAAGCTAACTCGAGTAGTTTTATTTTATTTACGACACAATGTTAAGGGTATAATTTTGACGGGCTTATTGGTTCCATCCCTTAGATTCATGGAAACAAATGGTTGTTGGTCTTTTAGCATGTTGTTGGTTGATGGTAATGAAATGAATCTTAAGGCTTTGTTTGCGAGTTTGGAGGGGAGGGGAAGGGAGGGCTTCAAAAAATGATTTTTTTTAAAAAATAGAGAAATTTTTGACATTTTTTGAAAAAAAGATTTTGTTTTGAATGATAAAATAATGTTTTATCATTAGTGTATTTTTAGTTTTTGAAATACTATAATAACAAAAATTATATTTGAACAATTTGTCTAAGCCCTCCAAAACCCTCCTTTAATACAAATTTTAAGTTCTCCTATATTAAGGGGTTTTTGGTGTTATGAAGAAAAACAAACCCTCCCAACCAAAATCTTTCTATTCTTTTCTCCCAATCCTTCCCATCTTTCAAAGTCATCCCCTCCCTTCCCCTCTAAACTCCAAACGTAGCCTAAGGATATTCCTTCCTTTGGAACTTCAGAAGTATTAATCAATTTCTTGAGCCTTAAAGCTTTCTAATTTTTAGATGTGTTGAGATGTGACTGGGTGGATTTCTTATTGCTTATTTTTTTGTGCTTAGCTAGCAGTACTGCACCGCCACTTTCACAGTAAGAAAAAGCGAAAAATGTTCAAAACTCTTTCACCTTAACAGGTAGATTCATTAGTTATGTTCAGTCACCACCCTGAGTTGCCTTGGTCATTTATTTTTTTTTGGCAGCATTTGCTTGAATAAGAAACTGCAACTTAACTAACATATGCCCTTCTTCATCACTGTGAGCAATAACAACCAGTGTTAGTTTTAAGCACGATGCTGTTACCTGATTTATAAAAACTCAATTGTTTACCTAGAGGATGTTTATATTTTTCCTTGCCTGTTGCACTGTGTGCAATACAGACTTGCCCTTCTAATATGCCCTTCCTCATCACTGTGAGCAATATCAACCGGGTTTAGTTTTAGGCACAATGTTGTCTCCTGCATTATAAAAACTCAATTGTTTACCTAGAGGATTGTTATTATATATTTCCTTGCCTCTTGCACTGTGTCTGTATGCATTACAGACTTGCGCGTCCATTTGTACCATTTTCACTGCCTTTCATTTCAACCTATTCTTGCTTCCACTTGCCGATTTTCCGCCCGTTTCTGTGTTTACTACTTTACTCCACGGGCCTTGGTAGTGAGAGAGATTCATTTGTACGAGTTAACTTATGGAGTACTACTGAGTTGGCTTCTTTTTTAACATACTTTTTCTCCTTCAAATCCAGGCAACAGTGCTTCTCTGACGCGTCAACTCGGCGACCAGCTGACTTATTATCTTCATATACCACCATCAAAACTGTCATGAATACCCTATATGATGGCCTATCTGAAGTACTCCGCAACCTCCTTAGAAGTACAGATACTCGTGAAAATGTACTTGAATATCTTGCAGAGGTGATCAATTTAAATGCATCTAGGGCTCATATACAGGTAAATATCTTTCTTATCTGCATTGCGAAAATCAATGAAGCATGAAGAAATGAGAGAAATTGTATTAATAACTTATTTCTTCGTTTTTTTTCCTTCCATTCCTTTTCCCATTACTAATCATATTCAGGCTGAAATTTAGTGTTTTCTTTTTGAACTTATTCCAATTCTTTATTTTTTTGTCTTATGAGACTACACATTACTTTTTTTTTTAACAGGTTGACCCAATTACTTGTGCAAGTTCAGGCATGTTTGTAAATCTGAGTGCTGTCATGCTTCGTCTTTGTGAACCATTTTTAGATGCAAATTTAACAAAAAGGGATAAAATTGATGCTAAATATGTCCACCACTCAAACCGGTTGAAGCTAAGGTGTGAGGCTTTATATTTAAATTTTAAAACTTCTTGTTCAAGTTTCATGTATCACTCTATTGGTAACTTTTGATTATGATCTTGTTTTAGTGGGTTGACTGCCCTTCACGCGTCATCAGAAGAAGTTGCTGAATGGCTTTCTAGTAAAAACCCAGCTAAGGCAGGGGAAATGAATCAATATAATGATGGTGAGAAACGTCTGCAACAATCTCAAGAGGCCAGTAGTTCTGGTAGCAATAATGCTAGTGATCTTTCAAATGAAAATTCTGCACGCGCAAAATATTCATTTATATGTGAATGCTTCTTTATGACTGCAAGAGTACTCAACTTGGGGCTTTTAAAAGCATTTTCCGACTTCAAACACTTAGTTCAGGTAATTACATGTATGTTCAGGTAGAATTAAAGGTTCAGTATTCTTATATTATGGGGGATAAATTTTAATGTTGTCTTATTTCTTATATATGGACATGGTATTTTTCAGGATATTTCTAGAAGCGAAGATACTCTATCTACACTTAAAAACATGCAGGGGCAGTCATCCTCTCCTCAATTGGAATTGGATATAACTCGACTTGAGAAAGAGCTGGAGTTGTATTCTCAGGAAAAGCTTTGTTATGAAGCTCAGATATTGAGGGTAGGTCATATTTCTCTTTGGAGTTTTGTTATTTCTGTAAAATGTCCATCACACCCACAACACTTGGGTAGCGTTTGACTCAGACAGAAGTGAATGGGGATCCACTCACACTAGAGGCATGCGTGAATTCTGTTGAGTATGAGTCGGTTTGTCTGAGATAGAAAACAGGTTCCTTTGCACTCTGTTGAGTAGCCGTCATAATGTTATTGTATACTGTGTGCTACAAAATGTTATAGTCTACATGTACATGCTCCTGTGTTTGGCCTTATACTACAGGTTTTACATGTATTTATACTATAATATAAATTAAACTAGTTGAATATAGTGTAGTTTAAGTAGCCGTCATAATGTTATTGTATACTGTGTGCTACAAAATGTTATACTCTACATGTAATTGTACATGCTCCTGTGTTTGACCTTATACTACAGGTTTTACATGTATTTATACTATAATATAAATTAAACTAGTTGAATATAGTGTAGTTTATTTTTACCTTGTCACAAATGGGTTCTCTTTAGTAGTGCTATCATTCCTGGTTTTCATTTGTGACATTAGCTCATTGATGGAACCGGAAGGTATTTTTTATTTCTCAATAAAGATAAGATAAGACTCTTATTCTTTGAAGGATAAGAGTGTCATGTTGTATATCTCTAAAAGATTATATATTCTTGTGTTTAATATTTTGCTAAAGTTCATTGCTTGATTCATCTTTCATATTATGTAGATTTTTTTCTTACTTTTTAGAGTTTCTTCAAGCTCAAAGTTTCATTTTCTCATTTTGACCTTTTTGGTTTCACATTGTTTTCTTAAGGATAACACACTTATTCAGAATGCACTTTCCTTCTACCGCTTGATGATCGTTTGGTTGGTTGGCTTGGTTGGTGGATTTAAGATGCCTCTACCATCAACATGCCCAATGGAATTTTCTGCCATGCCTGAACATTTTGTAGAAGATGCCATGGAGCTTCTAATATTTGCTTCCCGGATTCCAAGGGCCTTAGATGGAGTTGTGCTGGTAGACTTCACGTCAAAACAGTTATTTTTTAGTAATCCATTCTCTGCAAAGTTCTTCTTATTCATGGTTATACTTATGCCTTGATATTCTTGTTCCGTAGGATGAGTTTATGAACTTCATAATTATGTTCATGGGCAGCCCTGATTTTATCAAAAACCCATATCTGAGAGCCAAGATGGTTGAAGTTCTGAACAGCTGGATGCCTCGTAGGAGGTAATTTGGTGTCTTTTTTATCACTAAACCCTGTTCTGAACTTCATAATTATGCTCAATAATTTGATGTGTTTGCTTTGCCGTATTCCCTTAATGCAGTGGCTCATCTGCTACAGCTACTCTATTTGAAGGGCACCAACTGTCTCTTGAGTATCTTGTGAGGAATCTTCTGAAACTATATGTTGACATTGAGTTCACTGGTTCTCACACGCAGGTTAGTCTACAGTGCAAGACAATGAGCAGCTTTTTTTTTCTCAAGCTGTAAAATTATAGATCACTATCAGGAATATATTTGAATCCTTTGGCAAATGCCTATCTTGATTATTATTTCACTCTGGAGCTTCAACAAGGGGGTCCATGTTTCTGTTTACTGAATTATGAGATAAGATGGTTAAATAAATACAACAACCAAGCCTTATCTCACTAAGTGGGGCCGACTACATGGATCAAATTCCACTATAATGTTCTTTTCACATTATTACGTAATTAACCCATGTCATATTGATTCAACAAAATTTTATGTTGGCTGTCGACTGCCTAACGCAACCCTCTCCTTTTATCCGGGATTGAGACCGGCTATGCATAGCAATGCTAACATAGGCAGGATTAGGATGGTTAAGTAAATATTCATGATAATCCTAAACTTGTGATTGACTAGCAATGTCTGTGGAACTTTTATTTCAATCTGTTTCACTAATTTCTATAGCTCATAGATAATGCCCCGATAATGGTTTTTGGAATCAGTAATCTTTGTGTTGTTGAGTAGTACTACAAGAATCCCTAGCTAAATTGTCTTATCTGTTACTTGTTCACTACAGTTCTACGACAAGTTTAACATCCGCCATAATATTGCCGAACTTCTTGAGTACTTGTGGAATGTCCCTAGTCATCGTAATGCTTGGAGACAGGTAATGCATGAAAGATATTTTAATTTTTTTGTCTCATGATTATCTACTTCATTTGATTTTTGCTGATCTTAATTTTGTTGCAGATTGCTAAAGAGGAGGAAAAGGGTGTCTATCTCAATTTCTTAAACTTTCTGATTAATGATAGTATTTATCTTCTTGACGAAAGTCTGAACAAAATTCTTGAGCTAAAAGAATTGGAGGCTGAAATGTCAAATACTGCTGAATGGGAGCGACGGCCAGTTCAAGAGAGGCAGGAAAGAACCCGGTTATTCCACTCTCAAGAAAATGTCAGTCTGACTTTGGTCTATTGAATAATTATATTTCTGCATATATTTTAAAATTAATCTAATAAAACAAACAACGCTGGAAAATTTTGTAGATTATTCGGATAGATATGAAGTTGGCAAATGAAGATGTCAGTATGCTTGCATTTACTTCAGAGCAGATTACTGCTCCATTCCTGCTTCCTGAGATGGTACTCTCTGCCCAACATTGGCACGTTTTTATTCACATTGTTATTCTCTTTATTAGCTTAATCTTATATTTCCACTTTTGCAAGGTTGATAGAGTGGCCAGTATGCTCAATTACTTTTTGCTACAATTGGTTGGTCCCCAAAGAAAATCACTTAGTCTGAAAGATCCTGAAAAATATGAATTTCGTCCAAAGCATTTACTAAAACAGGTTGGCATCACCTTTGGTTGACCCAAAATCAAATACAGAAAAGTGCTGTTATACTCTACCTATATTTTCTCTGTTATATTGTTAAAAGCCTTATATATATATATATATATATATATATATATATATATATATATATATATATATATATATATATCCAAAAACAGTGTAGTTTTCAAACCTTCAGGATACTAGAATCTTTTGTCCTAACCCTTTTCTTAGTTATTCATTTTATATTGAATATTAATATTGTTTTTTTTTTCTTTTTCGACATCAATCTCTTTGGCATTAGAATCCCGTGTGCCATTTATATTACATGACACGGATTTTATTTTCCCGAAAACTAACAAAACTTCAATTTATTCATTTGAAGATTGTGCATGTATATGTTCATCTGGCTAGAGGTGACACAAATTCCATCTTCCCATCTGCTATCTCAAAGGATGGCCGATCATACAATGATCAGGTTAGTCACAATGAAGACTTTTAACATACTTCAATTGTTCTCGAGTAGTTTCTGATCTGGACTACCATAAGCCAATAAGCGAATGCAATCTGACTGAGAATTTGCTGCAGTTGTTCAGCTCTGCTGCAGACGTCCTTCGTAGAATTGGTGAAGATGGAAGAATTATACAGGAATTTATTCAGCTAGGTGCTAAAGCCAAAATTGCTGCTTCAGAGGCCATGGATGCCGAAGCTACTCTTGGAGAAATACCAGATGAATTCCTGGATCCAATCCAAGTATGCTTTAAACATTTTATTCTGTGCTCGAACACGTCCATGTTTGTGGCGAGAACCACCAGTGATCTTAATGTAGCGATGATTAGCTGCATGTCTGTTTTTCATTATTTTTTAAGAAAAATACTAATGTTTAGCAAAAGCTGTAAATGATTAGTTTTTATTATTAATTGTTTTAAATACAGAATATGCTTATTTAAATGCACCAAGACTAAGTGATATTTTTTTATGCATTGTAGTACACTTTGATGAAAGATCCAGTTATTTTGCCTTCTTCAAGGATTACAGTTGATCGTCCTGTCATCCAGAGGCATCTTCTCAGTGATAGTGTAAACCCCTTTGACCTGTTATTGCTTATTACTGATCTTCATTTTGAAAAACGAATCCATTGTTTATGTTCTTTGTATGTGGTTATTATTTGTGCAGAGTGACCCATTCAACCGTTCTCATCTTACCGCCGATATGCTGATTCCTGATGTTGAACTCAAAGCAAGAATTGAAGAGTTTATCAGGTCCCAAGAAATGAAGAAACACGGCGGAGAAGGCCTAAGCATACAAAGTACGAAGGCCACCATTCAAACCACAGATAGTGCGGAAATGTTGATTGATTAGGAAAAATATCAGAGTTGCCGAACTTCTCAAACAAAACCTTGCACATAAAGTTATTAGGTGTGGAACTTTAATCAATTTAATCTTATTCATTTTTTTTTTGAAATTTTAAAGTAATGATTAGATATTCAAAGCTGTAAGGATATTTGAAACGGTTAATGTATAGAAGTCATGAGATTGAATTCTATGATACAATCAGCTCATTTCATTGCTTTTCTTTAGCACATCTTGACTGATGCTCTCAAATGCTTATGCAGATGTGATCTTGATTAAATTTCTGTTGTTGTAATGGCAGCAGAGACTTGAACTTATTAATGTCTTTGGTTTTATTTTTAGAATTAAAATATCGATAATTCTGTAATTAGTGAAAAACATAGTGTTGAATAATGAGAGAACAAGAGGAAGGTTGGAGTGAATATGTATGTTTGAATTACACATCGGAGCTCATTATATATAATAGGAGTCATAAATGCCATAGTAATTACATAATATTCTATAATAATTACATAATATTTTATTTTCTATTTACATGATATCCTAATTACTTACAGAATATTCTATTTACATAATATAAAATATTTCTATATCTAACACTCCCCCTAAAGCTGGAGCATATATGTCATATGCACCAAGCTTGTTACAAATATAATTAATTCGAGGACCTCTTAAAGGTTTAGTGAAAACATCAGTTAACTGATCATTTGAATTGACAAAATTAGCGCCGACATCTCTAGATAAAATCTTCTCTATGATGAAATGACAATCAATCTCAATGTGTTTGGTTCTCTCATGGAACACTAGATTTGATGCAATATGCAGAGCTGCCTGATTGTCACAAATAAGTGTCATCTGTGAAACATCTCCGAATCTCAGGTCGTGAAGCAATTGTTTAAGCCATACAAGCTCACAGATTGTTGTTGCCATGACTCGATATTCTGCTTCCGCACTTGACCTTGCCACTACACTTTGTTTCTTACTCTTTTAAGAAATTAAGTTACCACCCAAGAAAACACAATAACCTAAGGTGGGTCTCCTATCAGAAGGAGAACCTGTCCAATCTGCATCTGAGTATCCTACAACTCGAGTGTGTCCCTTGTCTTCATAGAGTAAGTCTTTTCCTGGAGCTCCTTTAATATATTTCAAGATGCAAATCACAGCTTCCCAATGCCCTTCACAAGGAGAGTTAAGAAATTGACTTATCACACTAACAGGAAATGAAATATCTGGGCGAGTAACAATGAGGTAATTCAGTTTTCCAACTAATCTTTTATATTTTCCAAGATCGGAGAGTGGCTCTTCCTGAGCTGGCATAAGTTTAGCATTGGGATTCATCAGAGTGTCAACTGGCTTGGAATTTAACAGTCCTGTCTCCTCCAAAATATCCATAGCATATTTCCTTTGTGAAATCACAATCCCCCGTTTGGATTGGGCAATCTCTATGCCCAAGAAATAACGAAGTCTGCTGGGGTCTTTTGTTTGGAAATGATGACAAATGTGTTGTTTTACCTGTGTGATTCCATGATGATCATTATCTGTAATGACAATGTCGTCCACATACACAATTAAGTAAATACACCCAACAACAGAGTGACGATAAAACACTGAATGATCAGCTTCACATCACGTCATACCAAACTCTTGAATAACAATGTTAAATCTCTCAAACAAAGTCCTAGGAGATTGCTTAAGTCCATACAAAGACTTATGAAGACGACAAACTAGTCCAGAAGACTCCCCCTGAGCAACAAACCCAAGAGGTTGCTCCATATAAACATTCTCACACAAATCATCATGGAGGAATGCGTTCTTGATGTCAAGCTGGTAAAGGGGCCAATGGCGAATAGCTGCCATAGAGAGAATAATCGAACCGAGGCAATTTTAGCCACGTGAGAGAAGATGTCACTATAATCTAGGCCAAACAGCTGTGTATAACCTTTGGCCACTAAACGTGCCTTGAGACGATCAACTTGTCCATTAGGCCCAACTTTGACTGTGAAAATCCACCTGCAACCTACAACAGATTTTTCAAGAGGAAGAGGAACAAGGTCCCACGTGCCACTGTTCTTAAGAGCGCACATCTTATCAAGCATAGCTTGTTTCCAACCAGGGTGAGATAAAGCATCACCTACAGTCTTGGGAATAGACACAAAAGACAAAGAGGAAATACAAGCATAATGCAAAGAAGACAAGCGATGATAAGACAAGTTAACATAATGAGGAGATGGATTACGAGTGGAACGTATACCTTTGCGAAGTGCAATTGGGAGATCAGTCTCAGGGGGCAGGACCAGAGGGGACGAAGGAGTTGGATCCGGAGGGGAGTCTATGGTGATTTCTGCATTAGTTGATGGTAGTGGAGGTGGCCGTGGTCGACGCCGATAAACCTGCAAAGAAGCTAATGGGGGTGGATTGGCTGGCAAAGGAGACAGAACTACGTTTGGTGGGGCAATAGTGGGAGATGAATAAAACATGGGTGATAGGGACTCAGACGATGTAGACGTCTCAAAGTAAGGGACTGACTCAAAGAATGTGACATCAGCAGAGACGGAATATCGACGAAGAGACGAGGAGTAACATTTATATCCCTTTTGGGATCTTGTATAGCCTAAGAACACACACTTATGAGAACGAGCTGAGAGTTTGTCTAGTCTAGGACTAACATTATGGACAAAACATGTAGACCCAAAGACTCTAGACTGTAATGGGTGAAGAGACTGGTGAGGAAATAGAATAGAGTGAAGGATCTGATTGTTGAGGACAGATGATAATGGTCGACTTAATGAGACTGCAGAGTTGAACATCAATTTTCTTCCAACGAGCACTATCAGTGTCAGCCACCGAGTCAGCCTTCGTAATGAGGTGATCTTCATAGGTCTGCCCCGGAGCCATAACTTGACGTCGGAAGCCCAAGAATCATAGTTAGTACCGTCCAATTTGTCAACGGCAAGAGGAGTAGTGATATAACTTGTGAAAATAGGGGCCTCAGTCCTTGGAGGGGGAACGACGACCATGAATTCCAAAAACGGTGAGAGAAGTGACCAAAAAAAATGGAAGATCTGAGAAGGAATATCGGAAATCAGAGATGAAGCACGATTACCGAAAAAAATTTGGCGCCGATTGATAGTGGATCTACTTGGAAAGTACAGATTAGAGTTGCCTCTTGTTAGACTCTGATACCATGTTGAATAATGAGAGAACAAGAGGAAGGTTGAATTGAATCCGTGTGTTTGAATTACACATCAGAGCTCATTATATATAATAGGAGGCATAAATGCCATAGTAATTATATAATATAATATAATAATTATATAATATTTTATTTTCTATTTACATGATATCCTAATTACTTACAGAATATTCTATTTATATGATATAGAATATTCTGATATCTAATTCATAGATTTACATGTCCAACAATTTATTCTATAGTGCAATAGTCTAAACTGCAATAGTCTAAACAAGACAATTACTAAGCATTGAAGATATAATTAGTTGTTGAGCCAATATGAATCTGATTTTAATACTTCCAAACATATTCTGCTCCTGCTAACATGTAGAAACTGAAACATAAACCTTCAAGTTTTGCTCGTGTATGTGGGGTGGGGTCAGCTATTTAATGTCTATATAGATCAAATTCTGTCATACTAGTGGGGTGGGGTCAGCTATTTAATGTCATCATGTTTCTTAATAGTTTATATTATAGTTTTTGTAGGTCTTCTTTTACATTTAGTTATTTGATCCTTTCCACCTGATTTATCTTTCTTACAACATAATTTATAGATTTTCTCTTTATCTGCCTAAATTACCTATTGTCCACCATCTTTTATTTTAGGTGTTATTTCAGCACTCTAATATTGTCATTCATATTATTATTCCGGTTAGCCTTCTCACATTTTAAACACAATATTCTCATTTTTTTTACATATTATTTTTTTTTGTTGATTCTTAACCGTTCAATTTTTTGTCTCGTATAACATTGTAGTTCTTACCGTTATTTGATAAAAAAATTCTTTCAATAAGTCATACTTTTGTGTTGGAATTTTTGAAGTCCTCTTCCATTTCAACCATCTAATTTGAATTTGATAATTGACATATTATTATATTTATGCATCATTTTGTATTACGAATTCAAAATATATTTAAACCACGTGACTTGTAAAATGATTTGATCTTCAACTTTCACATATAAGTTAGAAACTATTCTCCTTTTGTTATACTTTCATTCCATATACTCCGTCTTACTTCTGCTTAGATGAAAGACACGCGTAAGACTCGTCTTCAAGTCTCGTTTAAATACTCCTTCAACTCTATAAATAAGACTATATCATCCATAAAAAGTATACATCAAGACTCAATTAAAGTAAAAAGACAGGGGATTATGGTTAAACCTTGATGCAATTCTATTGCAATGAAAAATTTTTGATTCTCCATTTTGTGCCCGCATACTAGTCAATATCCCCTCATACATATGTTGGAAACTATGAATATAAGCAACCCTAACCTTTTTCTTCTCCGGTGTTTTTCACAAAATCTCTATACACACTATATCACACGCCTTATTCAAATCAATAAAAAATAAGTGTAAGTCTTGTTGATCTATCTGATACTGTTCCATTACACGTCATAATAGATAGGGAAAATTACACTCACCTCCCTTGAAATTTATTAAAATAACACATACACTCCCTCCAGTTTTAAATTATGCACTAACCTTCCTTGAGTTTAATTAAAATAACATTGACACCCCTCTATTTTTTAGTGACAGCAGAAAACTGTTGGTATAAATGATATTTATCTACGGTTTTTGTCCGTCACTAAAATATTTTGTTGGTATAACTAAATTTAAGAGAGGTTAATGCATACTTTAAAACTAGAAGAGATGTCTGTGTCATTTTAGCAGACCTAAAAAAAAGTCAATATAATTATCCCTAATAGATATTTCACTTCCATGACCGATCTCCCAAACATAAATATAATCCATTCTACTACCTACCTTTATCTTT